TGCTACCACACTACAAAGTTTGGATTTCATGCCATGTATTGGCTGATCAAAGCATGGGATGAGTTTGTGGCATCTGCTCTGATAGTGGAGCATGATCTGGTTGTTTCTGCAAGGAAAGAAATGGTGGGTGATTGGTTCTTTGTGGTGGCAGGCTTAGTGCTGTTTATAGGAAGCCTGAACATGGACGTCCTGGAAGTGATTCACAACTTTCTGTTCATCCTTCTCACAGTTTCAACAATCCCCCAGATCCCCCTGCAAGGTTACTACATATTTTTTGGTGTAGACTGTTCTCTTTTCACTGCAGTCTCTGTTTATGGCACATTCTCACGTCTCATTAACACCATAGCAGAAAAAGTCCTCATACCTGTAGGACCTCAGCCAGTTTCCTCTGAGCAGATGAAGAATGCACTGAAGTGTGGAAGGTCTACACAGGAAGCACTGCCCCAAACTGACCAGACCTCAGATGCTCTGTTTTACCTTCTAAATGGGGTTGCAGCTCTTTCAMCTCTTCATTCAAGTGTGTCGAGTATGAATCCTTTCTTCCTTCGTCTGGCTGTTCCTTGGGTCCTGATCTCTGGAGCYATTGTCCAGYTCTACATCAGCAGGCTCCAAGTCACAGGAGGTGACCGCTTTGGATCAGTCATCTCCTCCCTCTATGTGGTTGTGTGGGCCACTTGGACGTGGTTTCGCTTTGCAGGTATTGTATGCAGGAACAAATGAATCGATTGACATGTTCCTCTTTGATTTACACAYGGTTCTCACCCCAAGTTTTTTTTTTTGTCAGGTGACCTGGATCAGCTCTACAAGGAGGCAAATTATGGATTCACAGCAGGGGCCATTGCTTTCCTGGTCATCAATGTTTTCCTCATAATGATTGGTAAGGTCATATATGTGCTTATTGAGCACATTTGTCTCTCTTGGATTGCTTTTAATAACTGACCTTCTTTCAGCTGCTTGTAGGAACCTGGTTCTACTGTTCCTAACAACAATCATGGAGATTGTTCTTGTCTGTTTCCTTCTTTCCACCCTAKAAAACTTGCCATACCAACTTGAAAGTAAGTCATTCAACACCTAATGAAAAGTTAATTATTTTCAGCCCAGAAGTACAGGTTCAATAAACAGATCAGACATTACATTATGACACCATTCTTTTTGCAGTGGCTGTGCTTGCWRTGGTTTCTYTTATTTGTATYTATGGCACTCTGGCTTCACTGGTGAATGGCATCTTCTCACAGAGAGTGCTACCAATGGGTCCATCAATTATAAAGGTAATTACTAAAGAGACTAAATAWGACTTAGGCATGATGATGTGTAGATCAATAAACATATAGTCTCATTTTTTTATATGTTAGGAAAAGGTAAAGCAGGAAACATCCGAAGATCCACCCTGTCCGTTGGCATCTTCCCGTGTCACCAGTGGTCTCCTGAAGATCGCTCACCTTCTTGAGGTGGGGGGAGTATGTGGGATACCTACAGATACTGTTTATGCTCTGGCTGCTTCCTGCAAGAATCCCAAGGCGATAGAGAAAATCTACAACATTAAAGTAAGAAAGACAAAAAAAAGCTTCTTGGCGATACTATTGAAAAGCCTGTTAATTTCTCTTTTAAATGATATCATATATGCAAGGAACATGCAATTGTGGGATAAGAAGTAGAGCTCAGTGTGTGGGTTGCATGCATGAAAAATTTTCCAAATATTCTCTGCCGTTGTCAAACAAATTATTWTTCTTTCACTATTGARACTTGTTTTGAGTGTCTGGTACCCCCAAGGTGCTGCCAATCATGTCTAGTATAAAATTTCTTCCCAAGAAGTMTTGTTACAACAAAGAAATAATCTACCAAAAASAAATTTCCTTTTGTGTGTGTGTGTGCTAAGAATAGATATGTTATTTTCTTGTTAAACACTCCAGGACAGACCAGCAGAGAAGCCTATATGCATTTGCATTTCCAGCGTGGAGCAGCTGGTTTCAGCCAAACCACCCTTCAGCCCTCTGCTGTGGGAGTTCATGAAGAACGTATATCCTGGAGGCATCAGCTGCATTGTCAGAAAAGGAGACTGGCTGTTTAATTTAGGTAAACTGCTGAGATGTTTGAATGCTGGGAGATKTACATCTGCCTGGATTTTGAACCATAAACTAAACATCAGTAATTAGTCTTCACCTGAACCTCAAACTCGTCCTGTGCAGGTGTAGGACCAGCTATTGATCGTGTCGGTACCAGAGACAGCATCATGATCCGTGTCCCTGACCACACGGTGACCTGTCACTTATGTGACATCACCGGACCTCTGGCGATCACATCAGCCAATCCCAGCGGAGAGTCAGACAGCACSCACCACAGCATGGTCATCAAGTAAGAGTCTCTCACTTCCATTACAATATGTTTCTCAACGACATAAATTAGRTTCTTTTTTAACTGTTTTATTTTCTATTTAATCTTTTTTAAAGCCGACTAGGCCACAAGATCCAAGGAGTTCTTTGTGACGGAGAGTCAAATGAACTTGTTGCTTCCACCGTGGTCAACTGTCTACAGATTGATGAAGGCAAGTGCACGAAAACAACTTGACTTCCTTCTATCAAGGACATTTATTAAAATAAACTTTCAAATTMAAACTTTTTTTAGGTATCATCAGCATTGTGAGAGAAGGCTGTGTTCCTGCCATTAAAGTCCAACAGATCTTTGACAGACTGAAAAACACAATGGCGTGAGAGTGTCCTCGCAGTGATCTGATCTCCTTTGGTTGTTATTCTGTGCAGCAACAGACGTATAGGCAAATGCTACAACAGTTTGTTTATTATAGATTTATCTGAAGATGTGACAGATATCTAAACAGTAAACATATTTTTCTACTGAATTTAGGATTTATATTTATCTGAACAATCACAACTAAAGCACCACAATTCATTAAAATCAAGTTTTGCATACCGAAACTGCAGGAAAATTCAAACACATTCAAGCCAGTATCCAAAAATATATGCTGTAAAACGGTTGTGATTCTGTAAATATTTATTTATACTTTTAAACTGTACTTTTGCACATATCATAGGTTTCAAATTGTAAGCGAGTACATGTTGTATGTTTTTAAGCTGTGTGAATTTTTGAACTGAATAAATTTGCACAATAAAAGTATTTATCTGACAAGTTGTTTGTCTGAAACTGAAATTTATTTTGTTATTATCAGGTTTTATTGTATTTTTTTACATAATATTTTTAATTGCTAAATTAGAATTTATTAAGTGGTGCAGAAAGTGAGTGAATGTGCAGCAAGAGGAAAGAGATGTGAAACTAGCTTTGCCACAGTTTTAAGCTCTTGTTAGATTAAATTTATTGACCAACAATATTTAGATTACTTGACTTATAAACGCTCACTATTTTATTTGATTATTTAGCAGATCTCAACAGTTGAGGACTGTATCTTTTCATTGCAAGGAATTTTCATCAGAACACAACAAAAAGACCAAACTGTGGAATATTTTATTGAAACATTTTAAATAAATCAATATAAAATCAACAAAGAAGCAATAAAATCAACACCATCCATCCATCATCTTCTGGTGGGTTTCAGAGGCAGCAGCTTGAGCAGTTAGACCCAGACCTCTCTTCCAGCACTTCTGGGAGGATTCCAAGGCCATTACCCAAAATTTGTTATCAAAGGTGAGGGTAGGCAAGTAGATGGATTGGTAAAAAGAGGGATTCACCTTACAGCTCAGCTCCCTCTATACAAAAACAGACGGGTATAGAGTCCATAATACTGTGGAAGCTGCAACGATCTGTTAATCTCATGCTCTCTTCTTTCCTCTCTCATGAACAAAACCACAAGATACTCCTCCAGTTYAGGCAGAACATCACCCCCAACCCGGAGAGAGCAATCCACCCTTTTCCATTTGAGAACCATGGACTCAGATTTTGAGGTGCTGGTTCTCATGCCCGGTGCTTCCCACTTGGTTATGAACCGCACAGTCAGAGCTGAAGATCACGGCACAATGACGCCAACAGGAGCACACTATCTGCAAATAGCAGAGATGAAATCCTGAAGAAACCAGTCTCCTTCCATCCTCTGGGTGCACCGAGAAATCTGTCCATAAAGGTTATGACAGGAATCATTGACATTGAGCAGCTCTGGTGGAGTCCAGCTCCCAACCTGAAGGGGTCTGGCTTACTGCCAGCAATGTAAACCATACTCTCGCACCGCTTGTATGGACTGAATGGCCCACGTAACGATGAACCCACAATCCTATACTCATGGAGTGTGCGCAACATAGAGGGATTACTCTGAATTATCTGAGTTTGTTTAAAACCATTATATTCACTCAGCGATTTAGCAAAAATAACACTATAATGCCAGAAATTTATATATTTTTTATTGTCAACATTTGTTTTTCACATTTAAAATATTTCACAGTCAAATGAACAGGTTTCATTCATACATAAATCATGGTTTTTATGATTCTTCGATGAATAATAAGCTGATAAGCCTCAGAGGACAGTTTACAGTTTGGATGTCATCAAAGAATGAACCTTCACAGAGAAATTGCAGGAAGTATGAGGTCACAAAAGAAGGGTGTGTTAGGGGGTTCCTTCATGCTACAGAWAGGATATATTACTTCTCATTGTTGTAATTAGGCAGGTGAGGACATCCCATAAAAGTCACTCTTTTGCACAGCATCTCAACTTTCAGTTGATCTGTATCATGTTGCTGCGTGGTGAGAAACACTGCTGATAGTGCTTTTCTTCTTGAAATAACTGTGGGTGGGTAGGTGGGTGGTTGTCTTGGCAGAGATGTTTTTAAACCTGAACAATGTAAAATTATACTTTTGTTCATTGAATTTGCAGTTTTTTCCACAATTGATTTCTAAACAAAGGCCTTTTCTACCTGTGACCACTCAGTAAAATGAGCCTTTAAGTTGAAAGACAAAAAAAAAGGCAATTAAAGTGAAAAAAAATGTGAAAACATCTCATGAGACATCTTGGACTGTATTAGTATTAGTAGTTTGACAAAAATATATAAAATTTGATTTTGTTATTAACACATTTAAGCCATATCCATTCTAGATTCATATATGTTTTCCTCCTCAGTCCAAAGACAAACTTTAGGTTATTTGACCGTTTTAATTTGACCACTGGTGTATATCTGTGATTTTTCATATTTTTGCTGGAACAGAGACAGAAGATGATCTTTTAGGGTGTACCCCTGCCACTTACAACTGCTGGAAATAGCTCAACAACTAGACTTCTATAAAATAATAGTGCATTTCTCTAGAATGATCAGAAATTTCTTTTAATCTTGCCATAATAATGCTTATAAAAGCACCAGAGGGTACTCTGCTAAGGCCAAACAATGCTAAAGTCACTATGAAAGTAGCATTACAAGAGGATTAGATATTTTTAACTCATGAAATGTTTGTGTGTGTGTGTGTGAGGGGGGGTGCATTAAACGTAGACAGCATTATACACACATTAACACAGTAAGTATTTTTAAACAACTGAAACTTATTTTGAACTTGTCCTGCTTGGATTAGCTGTTAACTCATCAATCCAGTCATAACGATATTCTTATTTCTTCAAACTTAGGTCATTTTAGGAACTATCCACAACAGGTAAGATAGTAACTGTTCACATAGTTTCCACAGAAGTTATTTTCAGAGGATCTGAGCTGTTATATTAATCACTATTTTTTTACATTAAAAAGTAAATCTTCAATCTTTGAGCTTATAATTTTAAGGAAATGTCCTTTGAGTTTTCTTGTAAAGTTTTCCACATCACTGAACCTTTTTTGGATATGCTTGTTTCTACTTCCTGCACAACAGGAAGAAATGAAGCTCTGCTTTCATCCCCTTACTTACTCATTGCCCAGAAACAGTTGTGAAAAATCATTTTCAAACAAACAGAAACTATGAGTCCTGTCCTTAAAGTTTAAACAGACTCTTTGTTTCTGAGCTGGAGGATACWTTTTTTTCTGTGATTTCCTGAAGGATGGTGGTAAAACATGTTGCTGACCAACCTTTAAATGGACCAACATTCAAATTTCTTAGTAAGGAGCAGTAGCATCATGAGAAAATGGGTATTCACATCTTTATCATGCTTCCCTATAATTTCCTGCATACAGTATCATCTGTTAGTAGGAAAACTACAGTATGTGTAGTCTGAAGTCCACACAGCTTTATTTACCGTAGAGGAAATTTACTGACGGATAAATACCTGCATTTACTGGAACTATTCTTGATATTTACAGTTTGGTTTCTGTAATAGCTTACTTATAAGTTGGGTGGTAACTGCTGCTTTAACAGCTGTGGGCTAATATTTTTCTAAAGAATCATGGACAAAATAACAATAAAATTGGGAGGCTGTAGTGGAGTGGTTAGGGGAGCCGTCCTGTTATCGGAAGGTCGCTGGTTCAGTCAGTTCATCCACTTTGCCTACTGATGGTGGCGCTGGTGCATGACAGCCCCACCTCTGTAAGTGTGCTCCAGGGCAGCTGTGGCTGCAATGTACCATCATCACTGTGTGACTGTGTGTGTGAATGGGTGAATGTCTGTAAGTGTAAATTGCTTTGGGGTCCGGAGGGACTTGATAAAGCGCTTTATAAGCTCAGACCATTTACCAAATCTTTGGTCATATTTTTATTTTGGTGTTATTGCAGCTGTTCTCTGGCAATGCCATATATATTTGTCCTGATGTATCTCAGTAATCCAGGTAGAATAAAAAATAAGTTAAACACGTCCTCTGGACAGGTTCTTTCAACTCTCCTCCAAGAGACTTCTTCAGTCTGAGGAGTTTCAGGTAAACTCAGCTTTATAAGCACTGCCTCCACATGGTGGACAAACAGGTTTAATGATGACAATCAAAACTGTTCACAGGCAAAAGAGGACCCTCAGCCTAACAAAAGATTATTAGTGCCCTGAATATCCCTATTYTTTTTTAATACAGAATTGTATTTTGCTGGAGAAATGAATTTTAACAGATTTATCACCTGAGCATTTGTTTTCTTTCATTTTTAGTTTTTAAACAAGACAGCCTTGGCTAAAGTAGAACATCAGTTCATTTTCCCAGAGGTTAAAGGTTATGTTTTCATTAGTGTGAGTTGCAGAATATGAATGAAATAAGTAATTATACTTCGTTTCATAGTCGATTTAAAGATTTTTTTTTTAAAATGGACAACATGACAAAATAAATAATCCAAAACCTCATGTGAAAACCAGTGGCCTCAGGAGTGCACAGTCTTCATGCTAGAAGTGCGTACGGGTGAAAAAGAAAAAGCTTTAATAGGAAGAAACAGATTTATCAAACTGTGCACACGCATGTTTCTGCACCCCTTTCATTCATACATCTCAATGAGCACGGAGCTGAGCGCATGTGAGACACCGCTCCAGACATGCCTCCATTCAAATATGTAAAATAAATGCATGTGTGATTGTCCTCTCAGCACAATCAGAAAAAATTTCCAGATGATTGAAAAAGATTGAATACAGGAAATATGAGTGAGAAAAAATATTAAATAAGAAGTGAGGTGTAAAAATATGTTTGCCACAAGCAATGGGAAAGTAATTTTGTGTGTGTGTAATTGTTTCTGTAACAGAGTGAAGACCATGATTTTAACCAACAAAGTGAGTCCATTCTCACTTTTCTGGCAGCTCTACTCCACTCTACCAGTTAGGTATAGAGGTATGGTGTGAATTGAGTTTTGGTTGAGGCAGGAATAGATTAGTTTTGGTTAGAGTTAGGGAATATGTCTGGGTTAGGCAAAAATGCAGTTACAAAATGTATGGAAGTCCATACAAAATCCTCAGTTTGATGAAAGTACAAGGATGTGTGTGTGTGTGTGTGTGTGTGTGTGTGTGTGTGTGTGTGTGTGTGTGTGTGTGTGTGAAGCTGCCGCCTTCTTCCATTAGCACATTTCTGAGACTGAGACATTCCATTTCCACCTACATGTCTGCAATAAATTACTGATGAACCTATGAGTTTGGTAGAACTTAAAGCTTTATTTATTAAATAGTTGATGTGAAACAAAAGTCACAGCACCTCAATGGAGGCTTTTTGTCTCATAGCAGATTTATATTTTGGAAACACGAAGTTGTCTCATTCAGCTGCATGGCTCGGTTCAGGGACTCAGGAACATTTTCACGGCAGGTAAAACATGCGTATATTTACGCAATGCTCAATTTTAATACACAATGATGTATGTGTGTGTGTGTGTGGGTGGAACCTGGTGCATGCAACATGCGTGGTTGATACATGAGACCCCAGTTTATTTTTCAAACTTTAGTGAATTCAGTTTGGACCATAAGAAAATATTTCGACTCAGAAACAAAATCGTCCTCCGAAATGACCCTGATAGTTTATCAAAGGAAGCAGGTAGGCAGCAATATGTTGAAAAAAAAAAACATACACACACAAAAAACCTAACATAGGGGTACAGTTTCGACTCCACGCCATGCCCACATGTTGCGGTGACCTTACCCCCGTACTGCTCGCCGGGCGCTCACATAGCTGTCCGCTGCTCCACTTGGGTGTTTCTCATGTGTGATGGGTCAAATGCAGAGCACAAATTTCATCCTTGRYTGGGAACATACGTTGATGACAAATGAAGTGCCTTTACCTTTTGAGTTTTTATTTATGTAAGGTTTAATACAAACATAAGGGAAGGAAACGTCTTTGTAACAACTTATATGTGTCCCAAGTTATTTTCCCAGATTTGGTTGCCAGTCATATCTACCAGTGGATAAGGTGAGTGTTACCTGAGGGCACATTACTGATGATGTTCTAGTTTGTGTAAACAAAAAAAAATCTAAACAAAAACATTATTTAACCTCATCATTATTATATATAAATATCATTCAAGTTTCAAAAAATAAAATAAAATACTGCATTGTATAGAAAAGTATATTAAAATGATTAAAATGATGAAATGCTTTCATTGTTTTGTGCAGTTTTTTAATATATACATATTTTTTTCACTCTTGTGCTTGATATGCATCACACATAACAAAAGGCTATGTGTGTATGTGTATCTTGTGTTTTTTTTWATCTTTGTCACATATTTTGTATTGGGTTTGTCTCTAATTGTCTTGGCTGGCTTCCCTTCACATTGTCCATTATTTGAAGGCAAACAAACAAGAATGTCATTGCATGTGTTTAGAATATTGTGTGATCAGAAACTTTTTTGTACCTTTATTCACAAAACACATTTGTTCAATATAAAAGTATTCTGCACAGTTGTGGTCTTATGAAACCAAATGTTGCTTGCATTTATCCGAAGCGACTATAGATTTCAAGTTATCATGTAAATTAGTGGCATTTCACTGGAATGATGGTTCATTKATCCAACAGGATTTCAGTTTTTACCAATAATAAGACTTGTAATTTGTCCATCCAATGGTGGAAGAAATGACATTTTGAGAGGATCACACTTTTCAGCCAAATAGTGACTGCACTGCACAGACCTACCAAGGCTTGGGAAAACCATCAAAMTTTCTGTTTAACTATCTCCTAAAATGTGGGTGCATAGTTGCATAAAGTGCAAAGCTGAAATTCCATACATTTTTGTGATGACACATTTAATCGAACAAATTCTTTTTGTTTTTGTCAATGTTTTTTCTTATCATACTTCATTTTTTGTATCATAGTAATTTTCAAGCAYTATTAACATTAATGTGATGTTACAGTGTTATCAGAAGATTTTTATTATGTACAAAGATCAGTGAACCTCCCTTTATGGAATATCACAATATTCAGAAACACAATCATATATATTTAAACAACAAAATGTCCTTCTAAAAACAGTAAAAAAATACATTATTTTTGTGAAGTATATACAGCTATAATTAAATAATCTAATTATCAAGAACAAAAAAGGTAAACAATAGCAAATAAAATGTGCATTCATTACAAATATCATTCAGCCATTGCAATACAAATATTGAGTTTAGCAATACTTAAATTTGACAGTTTTGGAAAACAATTGAGATGTCTTTATGTGAAGCTCAAACAACGTTTTTCTAAGTTCTAGAACATAATGTTCAGATTAAAACACTCAAAGATTGGTTTTCACTTCCACTTTCTGACTCTATTGTGTCGTACACTCCTGAATTTATCTACTGTTCTATTTCTGATGGATGCCGATCGTATTCGTTTTTTGGATTTGTTTTTGTTTGTTTGTGGCAATTTCGAGATCAGAAGAAACATCTGAATTTATTGTTTCATATACTTTTTGATTTGTCTTCTGTTCTATTCCTGGTAGATGCAGATCATAATCAATCTTTGGATTTGTCTGTCCTTGTGTGAAGAAATTTAGTGTTAGGTAGGTTAGCACTGATTTTAGAAGCACAACACTCTATTCTTAAGCTCTCCTTTTTGAAATATTGACAGTGTTTAATCTATTATGTCTTGATTGAAATAGGTCTAGTTACATGTCTGAAACATTTTTTCAACACAAATAAACGCTTGAAATACATTAGGTGAGAATTGTGTCTGAATGCCTGTGACTCAGCCGTAGGCCAGCAGGGGGCGAGTGAAGGCATTGAAGAAGCTGTATAAAAACGTAAACTTCTGGTTTTATGGCCAGTGTGGGTTTCCTGTTTGCAAACAGCAGCAATAAACCTCCACTCAGATTCCAGATTCTGGTGTTGTATGGTTTTCATTCCTCCTACAAATCACTTTATTTAACATCTGTGTTTATCATCTCGACCAGTTGATTGAATACAAATTTTCTTACACTTGTTTGTGGTGAATTTGTTTAGATGGTGATTGGTTTTCACTTCCTCTCTCTGATTCTATTGTGTCATACGCTCCTGAATTTATCTCCTGTTCTATTTGCCGATCATATTCGGTTCTTGGATTTGTTTTTGTTTGTTTGTGGCAATTTCGATCAGATGAAACACCAGATCCTGTTTGATATTCATTTTGTGTTTCTGAATCTATTGTTTCGTATACTCTTTGATTTATCTCCTGTTCTATTCTTGGTAGATGCAGATCATAARTGAACCCTGGATTTATCTGTCCTTGTTTGTGGCGATCTTGTTCAGATGGTGATTGATTTTCACCTCCTCTTTCTGCATCTATTGTGTCATACGCTTCTGGATTTTTCTCCTGTTCTATTTCTGGCAGATGCAGATCATAACTGAATCCAAGATTTGTCTGTCCTTGTTCGGGGCAATTTTGTTTAGATGAAACACCAGATTCTGTCTGGTTTCCATTTCCTCTATTTGAATCTATTGTGTGGTACATTCTTGCATTCATCTCATATTCTGTTGTCGATAGATGCCGGTCATATTTGGTTTTTGGATTTGTTTTTGTTTGTCTGTCGTGATTTCGATCAGATGAAACACCAGATCCTGCTTGCTTTTCACTTCCTCTTTCTGAACCTATTGTTTCGTATACTCTTTGATTTATCTCCTGTTCTATTTCTGGCAGATGCAGATCATAATCGAACCTTGGATTTGTCTGTCGTTGTTTGTGGCGATTTTGTACCTCTTCAAAAATTTCAAGAACCTAAAAAACAGCCAAGAAAATATGTCAGGTGTACAGTATATAGCATGAAGACAAAATGACAACAGTTTCTACTGATGAAGAGAATGATGTTTATCCTACCTTAGATTTAGGAATGAGACCCACTCTGAAGAAACCAATTTGTCCAGTTTCAATCTTTGTGCAGTCCACAACAGTAGAGGCAATATTTTCTGGGGAYGGTCCATCACACAACACTCCCTCCACCTAGATAAAATAAAATCCACATATGATGACCCTAAACACATTAGAAAACCATATTATTTTCTGTTCACTTTACTAATACTAAATCACCTTCTTTCCTAGTTTGGCGTAAACTTGGTTATGGTGAGTTGTGTCTGCCTCGCCTGTTGGGTTGGCTGAAGTTACAGCYATGGGGCCCACCTGAGAAACACAAACATGATTCCTCACAAATCTTATGACTTAGTTTAATCAATTTAATGAATGCTGTGCAGTGAACAGTGTTTGTAGCCTCTACCAGGTTAATGAGATGTGTGGCTACTGCACAGTCTGGGTTTCTGATGGCGATACTTTGTGGAGTTCCTATGTGTTTYGCAGCATCTCCTAAACCAAATATATRCATCCAGGGACCTGCAGGAGTCAACAAAAACAYTGRTTTCTTTATAAAAGCTCTCTGTACTTGAATAAACCATYAATACACACAAATACATCAAGTGGTTTAGATGTAAATAAAGAACCTCCRACCTCTGGGWATGACCATGCTGATAGATGARGGCCATGCAGCTTCCATGAAGTCCAACAGCAGAGGACTCAGCAGGTGTCTCACAGGCTCCAGCTGCTTGATAGAGGAGATCCACATGGACATGGGCCGATCCTCAGCCTGCTTTTTAACCCTGAAGCCAAACARCAACAAGCAATAAGAGGAAATCATTTTGTTTATAACGTAAAACTARTTTTACAAGAATGAAAACTTACWTGTAAGCTTTGACTACTGCATCTGGTCTGTTGCAGGCTGCAACCAGCACATAGACGGTGTCTGTTGGCATTCCACAAATGCCACCATTTTTCATGATCTCTGCATCAGATCAAACAAAATAAAGAAAAAGATTCAGGTTCTGCATGTTGTACTGTATCCAAGTGTTTCTTTATGAATCAGCACCAATGTCTTTAATCCCTCACCTGCAATCTGTTGGACCGACGTGGCTTTGCGTGCTMGAAGGTGTGGACACACATCTGCCCCTCCTCCAACCCCACCCAGCCTGACTAAAGGTCTTCCCAAGGGAATTTGGGGAGATTTAAAGGTTTCYTTAAAAAGATGAGCGAGGAAACAATAAAAGCTGATGAGGCCAAAGATGATTGTGACTCCGATGTCATAACCGTACGGCAGTGAACCTACTGCATCCAGCAGGAAGCTGATGAGAATGAGCTGGAAGGTGAACGCGTAGATAAACCAGGCGARYTTTACAAACAATGCTGCAACAGTCACCAGTAAGTTAAACAACATGAAGCTAATYATCCCAACGGCCACATTGAAACCTCTGGTTTCACCGTACAGACCGCCGTATCGCGTCAAACCCCAAACTGTCCACATCACCCCGTAGAATATAAAGARYGTGCTCTCAAAGGTTTTACCTCGAGCGAACGCTACTGAGCCACACAGGAGCTGCAACACCCCACCAGCCATCACCACCCAGGGCAGAACCAGCACAGACAGAGGGTCTCTGTTACTAACTGTGGCTGTGACGGCAAAAGCAGCCAGAACATTGCAGGCGTGGCCCAACACCTCTGCATCTGCATATTTGGAGTAGCCCAGGTGAGGTATATGTTGCTCTTTATCAAGAGACCTTAGWGTAACTTTTTGCATCCTGGTTKCTACAATTTTGAAAACARTTCGCCCRGTGGGAATTAAACTGCTTGAGACCATGTTGAATGTAGTAATAAACAGTATTAATGCTGTAGCTATAAATATAGCTCCTTGTACTCCCTGAGTACCACCTTGGTAGAAACCKTTAGGTTGTGCTGCWATYGAAATACAATAAGCTACAAAGAATAGCTGGTAAATCCCCTCCAGCAGGCTCTTTTGACAGCTGAACAAAGCCAGGARGGAGAAAAGCACAGCAAAGACAACAGGGAAGGGAACAGGAGAGAAAGGCTGAATGTCGTACAGAGACAYCAAAGCGCTGTAGCCCTCTGCAAATTTCAGCAAGGCTGTGAAACCATAGAAAGTAGCAGCTAGCGTGTCCATAGKTCGATACATGAGGACACACATGCCAAGCTGGAAGACTCCAGCTGTCCACAGCCAGGGGACATGGCCAACAAAGAGTTGGGGGACCACCTTTAACAGGGGACAGGCTAATACAGAGGCAGATAACAAGTTCATCACTAAACCTACACTTTCTGCACCTGTGCACCCCTGGTTCTTCTCAGTGTTCTTCTTCAAGCCTACACCTGGAGGTCTCACTTTACCTTGAGTGATCATGGACAGAAGACGTCCAAACCCAAAATAAACACACACAAGACAAACAAGAAGGTAGTTTGCAGCAGTGGCTGACTGTCCAAAGCCCACAGCAAACAGACCGGCTATTTCATGGGCGCAGGCTAAAGAAATGCCCACAGCTATGAGGAACAGAACTGGTTTCTTCACAAAGAGTGCTACACAGCCTATGATGAACAGGGCTAAGGTAAAAGCTGCCAGGCCTGGAACTAATGAAGTCTTCAGCTCTAGAATGTGGATCAGACCAGAACCACACCACAGAGCCGAGACAGTCAGACACAGAGTGGAGAACAGCTGGGCGTGGGACAGACTGTGACAAACACCTAGGAGAGAGAAAAGACAGAGTCAGGATGGAGGCTGGAAAACAAAATCTGTGAGCAGAAATGTTTTTAACACAAACCTGCATAAGCTACAAGGGCTGAGATGATGAGGAGCAAGATCCCCAAAGCAGTGTGGGGGATGAAGACTTTTTCAGGAGAGCTGGCATAGTTGTTCACCAAAAGCAGGAGGGAACCTTAAAGTAGGATAAAAGGTGGGCAATCAACCAAAACAGGAATTCAATATAGCGCACTATTCATCTGTTGAAGGAAATTAGTTTTAAAATAGCAAGACAAAATGTATKTTTTCCATGGTGCACTCTTGCATTTGTGTAAAGTATACACAATTTATCCAGAAAGAAAGAAAATATAAATGACATAWAACCTACCACCAAAAATGCCCGGGATGCCGACATGAAGTGAGTTGGACTGAGTCATGGTAGCAGTGTTTTTCAGACAAACTGAGCCCTGCATTTATAGASCTGTGAGCCACACAAACACACAAGAGAAACATGAGGGGCAGAGCTGCATCACTTTCTTGGAAAATTACACTGTGGTCATGGCAGCAGGGRGGGGGGAATCACAAGTTCCTCCTAAGTTTCAGATTTAATCCAGTTTCTTGTATTAATAAACTATCTGGGATAAGTTTCCTTCTGAAATAAAGTGAAGAATAAAACTACAGACAAATCTTAATCATTAAGAATTAGTCCGTGACTTTGAAAAGTTCAACATAGTTTGTTCAAAATGAGTGCTGATAGTTGTTTAAGTTGAAACGATCACTAAGCTGTTCTTTTATCCCACTTAAATTGGGATCAAATAATGTGTAGTTTTTAAACTGAAAATGATGCAAACTGAGATAACTGTTTATTTATTCTGCCTCCAGCTCAGTCTTGTAGTGATAAACTTCTTATCACAGTTACRTTTATTGTCTTTTACACAGAGTTATTAAAAACGATTGACCAAGTGTTTTAGTTTAAAGATTAACGAATTCTGGTAAGCTTGTGACATCAGGAGGGTGTGGGAGGAGACACAACAGACAGGACTATAAGACCTTCTGCACACAGCTCTGCCTTCAAACCTCCACTCAACACCTCCTGTTCCACAGCAGACCACCTACAACAAGATCTCCTCAAGGTAGAAAGACAACCAGCTAATGACTGGATTTTGTTTACTTTATTTTCCCCATGTTAAGGACAAAATAGTTCATTTTTGATTTGGTTTTGTAAAGCAATAGAGGAAAGTTGTACAAATAAAGTCCCTCTAGAAAACGGGGACATGCTGTTTATATTTGCTCGTTTGACGTTTTCATGTGTTATAGCRGGGTGTTGCAGTCAGCAAGCTTATTTGCCTTCCTGTTATTTGTTTTCGCTGGCGTCGACTGTGTTACCTGGCAGCAGCAGTAGCAGCGAGTCCCCTGAGCTGTGTACATCAACCTGGCTCTGTAAATTTTTTATGTGAACATGCAGCAGGTGGCAAAGGAGCTATCCTCAGAGGGTGTCCCTCTTGTTTTACAGAGAAACACATCTCATTWTGAAATATTTAGAAAAGCAGAGCAATCTGGATGGGTTTGACCTCTTTAGATAAACAAATTGTGCTGGTGTCTGTGTTTCAGTAATCATGGCYAAGCGTGTTGCAGTTATTCTGTCAGGCTGCGGAGTCTACGACGGCACAGAGATCCACGAGGCCTCGGCCGTCCTCGTCCACCTGAGTCGAGCTGGAGCAAAAGTAAGAGCCAGAAAAATTCTACTCATTTATCTGTGTCAAGAGTCTGGGTCCTGTCACGTTTACTACAATCATCCTTAAAGGTTAAAGTGCAATTT